GAGATTGATAGTGCTCCTTCACCCTTTCAGACACATACTCTTTTATTTCAGCCACATTTCTTATGACTTTTCTGTGGCTTCCAGGCAAGTAGTGTAGATAGGTGGAAAAATTATTGTAAAGCTAGAAAGAGAAAAATATTTCACTGTTTTTCTTCCGGATGCAACATAATTGTGTATGTTGGACCAACAACTTTCTCCAAACCTGAATTTGTGTCTGAAATAATTGCTTATTTGGAATATTTTGGGTCAACAGTGTCCTTCTTGGGCACCATTCCCCTCAGCAGTGCATTCTGTGGTGCAAATGTGCACGCACAGGTCGATACGTATCCTCAGGTTAGCAAAGGGGAGAATGTCTGGGCTCTCCTTGAACCTATGTTCTCTGGCTTTGCAGTTCTATCACATATAACTTGAATTTTCCTTCTTTTTCTAATGTACAGTATACAATTGATGGTTGATGGAAAAGGAACATGGCTTCACCTGGAGCCAGGGAGTACTGAGCAGGTAGAAATTCTCATTAAACAGATGCATCAGCCTCAGAAACTTCTCATCATCGTAGTCAAAACGCTTTCGGAAGAGGATGTCGGCTATGACGTTGCAGGGTGCGCAGCCGATGAGGAAGGTGGGCTCGAAAGGCTGGCCTGGAAAACAGGCAGCCAGGCCATCAGGGGAGGGGCGCAAGGAGACCCGGGGGGCTCCTCCACCCGCTCAGTCACCTGCTGGGGCTCACCCAGGCCTGTGAGAAGGCACCCTGAAAACTGGCAGTTTAAAAAGATAGCGAATGTCTGAAACTGTGTGGGCCTTCTTCGCTTTGCGACAGTACTCAGGATACAAGTCACGTGCTTAACGGCTACACTTGCTCCCTGAACTGTGTGGCTGGGAAGTAGAGTTGTAAACACAGTGTCTGGGGACACATGAGACCCTCTCCTAGTCCGTAGGTCCCTGTGGTTCAGACGTGATCTAGGGGTCCCGGCCGGGGCTCCCCAGGCCCCTGCTGGGCAGCAGATACACACCCTGGGTCTTCCTGAGCGCTTCCACCAGGAAGTGGGCCTCCCTCTGGATCCGGTTCTCGTTGCCTTGTTTCCCCATCCCATAGTTCCGGAGGGCGGTCAGGGAAAACCGCCGGATGTCCTTCCAGGTGGGCCCATTATTGAAAATAATTCCTAAGGCAGAGGGGCCAGCAGAGGGTTATTCCAAAGGCCCGTTTTGGGGAGAAACGGGCTAGAGAGGGCCTTGGAGAGCAGAGCAGGTTTGCAGGTGTGTCAAGAGGTGACAGAGGGGGCATGGGAGCTGCCAGCACAGGCCACTCACTGGTCAGGTTTTGGGGGAAGCCTTTCTGGGATCCTCGCGGTCTGCACTGTGGTTTTTTAAATCACATTTAACCTCTCCTGGGTGCTCTTTTTCATGCTGTCAACTCACCTTCCTTCTTTTTCCTTTCTGCTGAGTCTTCCCCATGTTAAATAAAACCACATATGGCCACTCCAAGAACACCTCCCACGTGTTTCCTGTCTACCAACAAAATTCTTGAAAAGCCAGCCATTCTGTTCTCACAGGTTTTTAACCCTCACACCACACATGCCTCAACTTGCAGCTCTCCGGCTCCACAGCAAGTTTCTTCACTAAAATCTGGTAGGTCCCAGAAGCCCCTGACTATGCAAAGCATTGGAGCTGGGAAACCCAAGAACTGTCCCTTCTGAGCTCTCAAGGCCTGGCCCTCCCCTGTCTCTCCTCCAGAGAGTGGCCTGCTGGGTCTTCCTGGGAGTAGGAGCACTTTTGAAATCAACACATCTAAACTTTTTATTCTTTAAGAATGTTTACATATTCCCATCTCTATCTCAGCTAACTATAAACCTTTTTATTTTCACCCAGATGGGCACCTTGAAATCATCCCTCTTCCTCTACACATGCCCAGCCACACCCCCTTACACCTCAGGGGCCCCTTGCCCTCTCTGCCTCGCTCTCTGTGTTCCTCTTGTCCATCATCATTTCCTCAGTATATACATTTTGGGTACCTCCTGCATTTCAGACATCCTGCTAGCTCTGGGCATTCTGCAGTAAACAAGGGTCACATGCTACGCAGCTTCGTTAGCTGATTGACCACCGACCACTGACCACTCCTGGGAGGCGCCTGCAGGGCACTCAGACAGTGCCTTGGGAGCCCGAGCTCACCTGGTCCAGAAGCAAGTTGGCAGGCCTGAGAGGGGTGGGGGGGGAGCAGATGAGATGAAGTGGGCCGGGCAGGGGTGCAGGCTGGACTGAGGGTTTCATTTCATCCTGAATAGTAGGAGGAAGGACTGACAAGACTGAGGCGGGGGGAGGTGATGGTGGTGGTGGAGGGACAGACGTGGTCATGTTAAGTGGAGGGCACACTGTGATGACCCATTTAGACAGCTGTCCAACACATTATAAATCTAGGTTGGGAACCGAGCTTTCTCCGTTTTATGGACTTTTTCTGAAAGGATGTGTGCAGTTCCTCTGGCACACTGTCACACAGCCTATGCTCAGAGTTATGCCAGTAAGGAATATTTTCATCATTGTCCCTCAAGGGCCAGGTGCCCAGGGCTCTGCTAATTTTCCACCAGTCTGGGCCCTGTGGGTCATATAAAAATGAAACTTTAGAGCCCCCGGGCAGAGGCAGCAATGTCCCCTCGAGCCCGAGCTGTGGAGAAGCAAGTTCCACCCCCCGCCCTGCTGCCTCGGACTCTGCCTTGGATCTGTGGGTGGCAGATAAGGGCTCCGGGAACCAGAACTGAGCTCCTCAACCGCAGAACCGGGGCCCTCCTCAGTAAAGCTTTTCCTGTGTTAGCGACAAGGACTGAGATGGTTAATTTTGTTTTTGGCAACCCCAGAGAAGTAAAACCCCACAGTGTAGAAGAAGGAAAAGCAAATGACGCTAACTGTAACACAATAAAACCTAGAAATGTAGACTGGACAAACAGGGCAACAACACCAGCTCTCGGCTTTAAAAATTCCACACGGCAGGGAAAAGGCTTTCTGGAGCCTCGTCATCAAAGTTGACTCGAAGAACTAGAGGCTTCCATGTGGGACACTGTTTATTTCTAATCTACTTTGAAAGCCCCTGCAGGGCAAGGAGGGAGGAGAAAGAAGCAGCAGGCCGGGTCGGGAAGCAGGAAAGAGGGAGCAGGTCAGCAGCCCCCGCCGTGCTGGGGTCTGAAGCCAGGAGGCTGGGAAAATGCTCAGATCAAGACCAGCCAGACCGCCAGCCTCCAACCCTGCTCTCCCTAGAGAGGGAACACGCCGCTTTCTGTATATGCTGAACTCCGAGCTCTGGAGACAGGGAGGGTGGAGGAAAGACAGCAGAGGTGAGGCTGGAGATGGGGTTTCAGTGGGTCTCTTCCCCCTTCGCGGTCTTCAGAACATCCACCCCAGCGGGACACCGGAGGCCCCCTCTCTGGAGGTCACCAGCTGCAGCTGAGCAAAGCCCTGAGGCGAGCAGTGTCCGCAGCTTCTGACGCCTCAGCGTGGGTGAGGGAACCTCGGTGGCAGAACCCACCTGTGCCCAGGCCGTGGAAGAGGAGGGACGCGCTCCCCGAAGGAGCCTGCGGGCCGGGAGGCGGGACGGTGGGGTTGGGGGAGGCGCCTCCGGCTCAGAAGCAGCCCCGCCGCCGATCCCTGTAAACTCGCCGGCCGGGTGGCCTAGAAGCCGGACTCGGAGGCGACTCAGGGCACCTCGCGCAGCAGGCAGCGCGCGGGCCCATCGCCCGAATCATCCTTCGGCTGCCATTACTGTCCTATTACGGTGACTTTAACATTGCGCCGACGTGGCTGGCGCCCGTAACTGTCCCGGGGCGTGTTGTGCGCCCCCCGCCCGGTGCCAGGGACGCGGACTCACCCCTGTCCTTGTGCTCCCGGAACGCGGGGATCTCGCCTCGGCCGGAGAACTCGCTCTTGTAGTCCAGCAGCGCTTCCCTCACGGCCTTGTAGCCGTACAGCACCACCACGCGCCGCGCGCCCAGGTACAGCGTGAACACCGGCCCGAAGCGCTCGGCCATCTGCGGAGACCGAGGCTGCAGGTGAGGCCCGCGCGCGGCCATTGCCGTGGCTCTAGAGAACCGCGGGGCGAGTGGGGAAAGGCAGTCTTTGTCCAGCCCAACGTGGCGGTACCTTCCCCACAAGGGGCTGCCGCGTCTGCGGGGCGCGCGGGACTGGCACAAGTGCGCACCCGGCCGCCCACGGGGCCCCAGCCGTTCCGCCCCGCGCCGCACCCGCCTGGACTCGGCCAACTCCGCGGTCTCTGGCTCAAGTCGCTTCCCTAAGGCGCGCTCACCAGCCACCCAGTCGCTCGCTTGCAGAGTCAAGGTTCCGTCCGCACCCGCCGCCAGCCCGCGCCCCGCAGAGCGCGCACTGCAGCGCACGAACCCCCAGCGCCTGCTCTGTGCTGGCGGCGTTATCGGCTCACTTAATTTTTAGGTTTGTTAGCCCATTCAGTGTGCACGACCGTCGTAGGCGGCAGATGTTGGTGCCACACGCACTGGCCCAATACTTCACGTTTCAACTCGTGCTTTGGCAAACGCGGGCTGACGCCCAGCCGGTGCGCATCCGGCCGTGAGCGCGGCTATCCTGGCGTCGCCGCAGCCCGGCCTCGCCGGCCTCCCCATCATCAGCCCCAAAACGAGGCACAGGCGCGGGGCGAGGAGGGGGAGGCTCCAGGGCCTGCCACGCGGGCTCAGGGCTCCAGCTGAGCGACAGGTTTTGCGTGTCACTCCAGGATGCTATCAATTCAGTTAATTCATAACAGGCTGGTATTGAACAACCACAGTTTGTCTGCAAATGAGTTGAATGCACACATATCAGATCCAATTTCTGAGTTATTCTCCCTCAAATCAACAATATTTCTCTTACCCGGGTGAAGGACTTGGGAATATTCTTCAATTCCAAGTTGAAGAGATTCCCGACGATGGGAAGTGGGAAAGGGCCTGGGGGCAGATTCCAGCTGCTATGCACCTGCCTCCAGATGGACACCAGCAGGAGAATGGCCGCCCATATCAGCAGGGCCACAGTCATGCCGAGGGCAGACATGGTGCCGCTGGGGGCCGGCTGCCAGCCTGGGAGGACAATCCTGTAGAAACGCGGGGCTTTTTATATTGTGTTTTGAGAAGGAGGGTGACCCACCAACCAATGCCATCTTCCTTCTCGTCTAGCCCAAATTATTAGTTTATTATTACCTGCTGTTGGCCATCATTTCAAAGGCTGATTCCCTCAGTGGTGGCCCCAGAGGTTTCATCCAGTGACCTGGTGAGGATGGAGCTGGGCCGTGTCGACACCCTGGTTGCTGGCACGTGGTGCTGTGCCGGTAAACACATCCAGGGACAGGTCACCAGCCTGTGTCCCTGGGCTGGAGGTGAATGTGGGGTGAGGGACTGTCCTGACCTTTGGCACTGGTTGGACAAAGGGGAACTCCAGCCACATTGCCATGAATTTGTTTGGAGTAGGGTTTATGTAATGCACCACCAACCACATGCTGACCGCCTCTAGACAGGCCACCAGCCCTCCTGGTGCAGCAGCCTCTGATGAGGAGGTTCTTCTGGAAGTCAGACACTCACACATCCCTCTGATGTCCCGCTGGGGTGGATGTTCTGAGACCTGGAAGGGGGAAGAGACCCACTGAAATCCCATCTCCCAGCCTCGCCTCTGCTGTCTTTCCTCCACCCTCCCTGTCTCCAGAGCTCCGAGTTCAGCATATACAGAAAGCAGCGTGTTCCCTCTCTAGGGAGAGCAGCGTTGGGGGCTGGAGGTCTGGCTGGTCTTGATCTGAGCATTTTCCCAGCCTCCTGGCTTCAGACCCCAGCACGGCGGGTGCTGCTGACCTGCTCCCTTTTTCCTGCTTCCAGACCTGGATGCAGCCCCCGGGAGTACCTGAATCACCACCTGCCACAAGAATGGGGCCAGAAGGAAAATTCAACATCTGAATTCTATTCCACTTTGTCAAATTAACTGGAAAATTCCATGCAAGAAAAAAAAAAGGAAGAGAAAGTTAATCTCTGATTATATAAAAAAAAAAGTTACACATTCTTGCTGTGGAAAATTAAGAAAAAATATTATTTGGAAAAATTTTAAATTCAAATTCTTTTAAAAATTACATTAGGGTTTTATTGGATTTGTTTTACATTAGGTTAAATATGGAAGTCTGATTTTATTTACATAAAAATGAGACTACATACTACATTTCAACATGTCTTTGCTGATCCAGGGCACAGTAGAGCCCCACATTTACTAGCCCCTTCTTTCACGTTTGAATCACTTTCTTCATGCAGGCCCTCTTCCACCTTCTGCCGAGATAGTCTGGAGCTTCTCTGTGCATGGTTAGAATGAAGAGAACGTTTTTATTCTGTCTTCTAACTGGCCGTATATGGAAGTTCTTAATTCACAGGTTGCAATTTTATCCTTTTATATTAGCAATGAATCTTTACGTATAATAGAAAATACAATAAGAAATGAAGAAAATCAAAGTCATTTACAATCCAACCACATTACTTGTGGATTTTGAGTTACGTCATTCTATACTTTTATTTATATAAAAATGAGACTACATACTATATTTGGCATTCTAACCCAGTTTTTCTCTTGACAGTTCATTAGTCACATGAGCAAGTCACTGGCTGCACCTCTCCTAAACCAAGAAGGGGCATTGGCCTCTGGTGGAAGCTTCAGGGCCCTTTGCCTCCCTCCGTTTTTTTCACCCCTCAAGGTGAGAACTGACAATGTAGACTCCACTGCCTCGTGGGTGGGTTAGCATGCCCCCTCCTCCTGTCTTTCCTTTGCAGTGGCCAGTGTGAGGTGGCAGAGACAATTCCCGGGGCAGAAGCTGAGTGATCAAACCCCTGCACCCTGTTCTCCTGTTGTGGACCCAGCCAGGCCTGGCGGGGACAGACACCCATTGGGGTCCACAAGTTTCCCTGGTTACTGGTTCCTTTTCCTAGTGCTGAAGAGGGCCAGAGTCTGCTCCTGGCAGACTAGAATTGAAGCCTTGGCTTTGGTGGAATTAGAACAGGAAGCATCAGAGTGGGGAAGCAGAGCAGGCCTCTGGCTCCCCTGGGCTGAGGAGAGCATTGTCTGTGCAGCTTACCTAAGTGTGCACATCCTGGGTGGGACCCACGTGCCCTGGACCGTCTGTGCCTCACAGGGATGCAGCTATGGTCTGAGTCCTCTGGCTATAATATTGTTAGATGCCCAGCCAACATCAGGTTTTAAATACAGGAATATATGTCATTTGAAAATGACATTTCTGTGTACCTCTTTTCAGAAGCCACCGCTTTTATTTGTTTTGCATCTATCCCATTGGCAGGACCTTCCAGGACAAAGTTAAACAATCAAGAAGACAGAGTGCCCGTGCCCGGGCCTGTGCCTGTGCCCCTGCCCGTGGCAGGACCTTCCAGGATAACGTTAAACAATCAAGAAGACAGAGTGCCCGTGCACACACCTGTGCCTGTGCCCCTGCCACTGCCTGTGCCCGTGCCCGTGCCTGTGCCCACGTCTGTGCCTGTGCCCAGGCCTGTGCCCGTGCCCGTGCCCATGCCCCTGCCAGTGCCTGTGCCCGTGCCCGTGCCTGTGGCAGGGAGTCCTTCAGGCTTTCATCACGTCTGCCGTCGGCTGGGTGTGGCAAAGAGGTAATCGTATTGGGACAATTTTCTTCTCTCTCTAGCTAACTGACAGTGTTTATCAGGGATGAGAGCTGGGTTAATGAAATGTCTTTTTGATTGAGACAATTCTATGATTTTTCTCCTTAGACCCGTTAGTGTGAGGATGGATGAAAACACTGTCTCACAATGTACCATATACTTTTATATCACATCATTAATATATGATCATAGTTCCACATCGCAACCGACTCTTTCATGGAGTGATACTCTTTTGACACTCGAAGGAGTCAACTTGTTAATAGTATTTTTGGTAATTTTGCATCTGTACCTGCAAATAAAATTGGGCTGTAGCTTTTGTGTTGCATTAGGTTCTTGCATAGAAAGTGCACCGTTGTAGAAACCATTGCAAAACTCCCGTCTTCTGTGTGCGTGGGGATACTTTGTATTGTAGGGGAATTGTCTGCGCTTTGAAATTTGATAGAACTCACTAGTAAAGCAATATAGAGAAGATTTTTTGGAATTGAATAATTGTTTATAAAGATTAGAGAGATAATTTTGATTGGGGAAAGTAAAATATCTCCTTTTAACAAATGCAAACAACACAGAAGTGGATGAAGTGAAAACTGAGAGTCACAAATTTACCCGACAAAGGCAGCTTCCATATTTTAAACCCCATCAAGAAGGAAAAATCCTGCTAATGCTCTTTTTATTTGTAGTTTTTATTTTATACCTCCTAAAATACTTCTTTTGCACTCACTTTGATTCTGTATATAATGTGGATTTGACTTAGTAGTATTCTTTTATTTTGGCCCAAGAGACTTCCTTTAGTATTTCTTACGATAGGCTTATGAATTCTCTCTGTTTTATCTGAGAATGTCTTATTTTCTTTCTTTTTGACATTTGATCTTAGCCAAAAGGCTAAGATATATTTTGAATTTTAATTAATTAATTAATGGGGGAGTGTATGAGAAAATGTGCTGGACAAATCCTAAAAGAGCTGTAATGCTTCATTCTTTTTGGAAGCGTATTTTCTGGACACAGAAGTATTGGTCGGCAGTGTTTTCCTTCAGTGCCCTGACTCTATCATCTCACTGACTGCTGGCCCCATGGCTTCTGGTGAACAGGGGCTGTTATTTTCTTGGGGGCTGATTTACCTAACACCTCATCTCGCTGTTGCTGCTTCCAGGACCCCCTCTTTCCCTTTGATTGACACAGCATGTGCAGGTGTGGCTCTCCTTCCATTTATTCTCTTTTGAGTTGGTTAAGGTTTTGGATATGTACATGGATCTTTTTCATCAAATTTGGGGAATTTTGAGCCATTATTTCTTCAAATAGTATTTTTGTCCCCCTGTTTTCTCTCTTTCTGACATTCCCACTGTGCCTGTGTAGATGCTCTTGATTATGTCCCACAGGTCTCTAAGGCTCTATTCACTTTTTTTAAACAATTTTGTTGGTGTTCACATTGCCATTCTGGAGAAACAGATCTTCAGAGCTTCTTATCCTGCCATTCTGGAAGTGCTTCTCTTGTCTATCTTATTTGTCAAGAAAATAAGAGCTTTCCAAGAAACTTTCAGAAAATCTGAGGTTTTTAAATTATTGGCTAGAATGTCACCACTCCTATTGCAAGAGAGGCTGGAAAGTGGAAAGAATTTACGTGAATGTGTTAAAAGGTGAAGGGAATTAGGAACAGGATTTGATTACTAATAATAGCATGTACTATACTCTGATTAAAAGCATTCTGTGTGTTCTTCCAAACTTTAAAATAATTTATATAAACATACAGCACATACTACATTTTATGAATATTTCACAATTTGTCTATTTTGAGTTGACAAAAAATTCAAATGGTTTCCCCAATTATTTATGTTACAAAAGGTGCCACAATGGTACCCTATGGATGTGTTCAGACATGCATGTACCTCTGTAAGTCAGTTTTGTGGGAGTGGAATGGTTAGATCACTGGATATGTGGACTTAAGATGTTAACACATAAAAAAAATTGCTTCCTCAAAAGGTTGGAACACTATAAACCCCCCCACAGTACTATGGGAATGCCAATTTCTACGTATCTTTTCCAACATTGGATACTGTCAGCCACTGATAACTGAAAATTCACGTCATTACTTTATTTTGCATTTCTCTGGTTAAAAAAGAAGGAAAGCATCTTTTCATCTATTGATTATTTATTTGATTTTTTTAATGAAACAATTCCTTTTCTTTTCATATTGGCATTTTACATATTTCCTCTCATTTTAGAGACTCTTTGTCTATCAAATAAATAGTAGTTGTTTTTATGTTTTATGGTTTGGAAGTTACTCCCAGTCTCTTGGTTGATTGCCCATGTAGAAAATTAGATTTTTATACAGTTAAAATTTTCAGACTTTTCCTGTATAGCCTTTGGAATTTAGACAATGTTTTCTAAAAGACTTTCCCCATCAATTATTTTTAATTTAAAAGTTGCCTTTAGAAAAAATCTATATGATCTTGTCTTTTTTAGATAAGGTGCTCTGATTCCTCCCACTATAACCATGTTTTATTAAATTATTTATTTTTTAAATCTCAGTTATTTTCAATATATATTAAAAATCAGCAATTAATCTTCTACTTGTACCTTTTACTGTTATATAAACATCCTTTTATCCCTCTGATAATTGTTGCTACATGTGTTTGCTTTTTGTAGAATCTCCCTGGTCTATCTTTGTTCATCATCGTATTTAAAGTATCTTAATGTCATTTAGTTCTTGATAGGTGTCCTGTAAACATTCCATAGCTTTGACATAAAGTTGTTCCTTTTAATAGGAGAGTTAAACAGTAATATTTATCACGATCACTAACTTTGGCTGCCACGATGTATGTGTGTGCATGTGTGTGCAGGTGCGCATGTGTGGGTGTGTGCAGGTGCGCATGTGTGTGCATGTGTAGGTGCGCATGTGTGGGTGTGTGCAGGTGTGCATGTGTGCAGGTGCGCATATGTGTGCATGTGTGTGCAGGTGCGCATGTGTGGGTGTGTGCAGGTGTGCATGTGTGTGTGCAGGTGCGCATGTGTGTGCAGGTGCGCATGTGTGGGTGTATACAAGTGTGCATGTGTGTGCAGGTGCGCGTGTGGGTGTGTGCAGGTGCGCATGTGTGTGCATGTGTGTGCATGCGCGCATGTGTGGGTGTGTGCAGGGGCGCATGTGTGTGCAGGCGCGCATGTGTGTGCATGTGTGTGCAGGCGCGCATTGTGGGTGTGTGCAGGTGCGCATGTGTGGGTGTGTGCAGGTGCGCATGTGTGGGTGTGTGTACGGGCGAGTGCATGCGCATGTGTGTGTGTGTGTTCCCTTTCCCTATGTTTAAAACGATCATATTTTGTTTGTTCTTTTTGTTTGTTTGTTTGATGATTTGGAATCTTGATGTCCTGTTGTTATTCTACCAGTGGTTACCCTTGAATCTGAAAGTACATATAGACTTACAGTTTTTTTATTAACTTGAAGAATTTGTCGATGTCTTCTGATATGAACAAGAAGAGACCTTTAGCACACTTTTCGTCTCTACTTCTCTTGCAAAATAAAATCTACCTCAAATCTCGGGAATTTTAGTTTTAGAATATGAGTTTTAAATTTGTTCAAATATACTTTCTATTTTATAAGTTTTTATCGAGGGCATTCGTATTTACAGCCACCTATCGAGTGATTATTTGCTTTCAAGTCTATGGTGTTCCAGTCCCTTTGCCTGTTACTTCTATGTCATTATCTTGCCTTCCTCGGATTCCTGCTCCTAGACACACGAAAGCTTCCACCTTCAGGACACAGTTTTATGGGGAGAGGGTGAGCCACACGAGGGGGCGGACCTGGAATGCGGCCTCCCTCCATAGCCAAGTTCTCTTCCGGGGCAGATCGCGTGGCGAAAATGTTTCAGACTGACAGCGAGCTCGCCGCCCCTCCGTTCCCACTGCGAGCGGGAAGCATGAAACATCCCCGAAGGGCTCCAGGAGGACCATCCGCAGCGCGAGGCCTTGGCCCACAGAGCTAAGAGGCAGAAGAAGATCACTTTTCTGGGCACACAAAAGGCTGTGATACGAAGGGAGGGGAGTACGGACGGGGACGAGAACACGCTCTGAATGGCGGTTCGAGGGCCGTCTGCCGGAAACCTGCTCTTGTTTTGTACCGTCAGCCCCGCTGGGACCTGGGCAGACCTCGGCGTGGCAGGCGTCTAAAGTTCACTGAAAACGATGACCTCGTCAGAAGCCAAACGTCCTTTCCAAGCAAAGCAGGAGCCGAGAACACACAGGCTCGCCGCGTCCAAAGGGCAACCACGCGGCTGCAGGTGCAAAGCCCCCCGCCCGGGACGCGGGCTGCCGGGAACCGGGGCCGCCTGACGCTGACGCTGACGTGACGCTGACGCTGACGTGACGCTGACGCTGACGTGACGCTGACGCTGACGTGACGCTGACGCTGACGGGCAGTGACGGCTCTGGAGCCAACGACGCCAAGCGCCAGCCCGGCGGGTGGGGCAGGGCGCCCTCCGGGGTCCGCGGGGGCTGCAGCTCCATGAGGCCCCGGGGACCCGGCTCGCCTGGGCCCCGCCCGCCAGAGGGCGCCGGAGAGAAGCCGCGGGGAGGCCCCGCCCTGTTGCCCTGACGCCCCGAGCGTTTCAGAGGCGGGAAAACACGCGCGGAGCGCTGTGGATTATCAAGTGTGGTGACACGAACCCCAGGCGACCCGCTCCCAACCCCAGCGACAGCTCATTCAAGGTGCGTTTGCAGAAGCGCTCGCGTCCACCTGCCTCCCTCTGGGGGTAGCCGCCGACCTGAATTTTGCTTTGAATGTTCCCTGTGATTTTCTTTTTTTTTCTTTTTGTTTTTTGAGACAGAGTTTGTCTGTCGTTGCCGAGGCTGGGGTGCAATGGCGCGATCTCGGCTCACTGCAACCTCTGGCTCCCAGGTTCCAGCGATTCTCCTGCCTCAGCCTCCCGGGCAGCTGGGATTTCAGGCACGAGCCAGCACGCCCGGCTAATTTTCGGTATTTTTAGTACAGACGGGGTTTTTTCCATGCTGGTCAGGCTGGTCTCGAACTCCCGACCTCAGGTGATCTGCCCGCCTCAGCCTCCCAAAGTGCTGGGATTACAAGCGTGAGCCACGGCCCCCGGCCAATTTTGTGTTTCATATCATTTAATGTTCTTGTTTTTGTATTTTTAAAGGAGATGTCATCACATTTATATTCCCTGAGGCTTGAATGTTTTGCTCATCGTTTATCGTTACCGCGTTGTGAGATGTTGCTGCACAGAGTTCATCGACGTTGACTTCACAGCCATGAATATGCCACACTTTGCTTAACCACTGTCCTGTGAGATGATTCCCAAGGTTTTGCTATTGCAGACTAGGGACATTTTCACACATGCTTCCGGGAGCACTGTGTAAGAATGTCTCTAGGCCAGGTGTGTACCTGGGCAACCTAATGTACGTGGAGCCAGATTGTTTTCCAAGTATTTGACCATGTACATGCGTACAGTGGTGTCCAAGTGGTCCTGCTATTCTCAACAGCAGGTACTAAAAGGTTTCTTAATGTTTTCCCATCTGGTGGATATAAAATGGTGTTTAATCGTGGTCCCATTTTGCATTCCCTGATTATAAATTAGAGAAATTTTCTCTCTTGTCAGAATTACACACACTCTTCTCTGAAATGCCTACTCCTGTATTTTAAGTATATTGCTCTCCTCTTCCCTTGGGGTTTGCTTGTAGGAATGCTTTATTCTCATCCTTACTCAGTTCTGTGTGTTGCAGTAACTTTTCTCTTTAGATTACTGTTCTACACTATCCATGGCATTTTTTTTTTATGAACAGATGTTCTCAAGTTATCAGTCTTTCATTTTTGGATTAGTGCTTTTTGGGTTTTAAAAAAATTCCCTCTTCCAGCCTGGGTGTTGGAGTGACACCATGTCCCAAAAATAAATAAATAAATAAATAAAATAAAACTTTATTAGCCAGAAAGATTAGAAAGATAACTATTTATAAAGTGGTTTTTTTGTTTGTTTGTTTTTCGAGATTGTGTCTCACTCTGTCACCCAGGCTGGAGTGCAGTGGCTCAATCTCAGCTCACTGCATCCTCTGCTGCACTGGTCCAAATGATTCTCCTCCCTCAGCCTCCCAGGTAGCTGGGATTACAGCCTCCTGTCACCGTATCTGGATAATTTTTTTTTTGTTTTTTTTGTATTTTTAATAGAGATGAGATTTCACCATCTTAGCCAGGATGGTCTTGAACTCCTGACCTCGTGATCCACCTGCCTCAGCCTCCCAAATTACAGAAGTGAGCCACCACGCCTGGCCTATAAGGTTTTACTGTTCACATGTATGCCCTAAATAGATGTAGAATTTATTTTTATGCATAGTAAGGACTAAGGAAGTTTGTTTTCCCATATAGGTATGAATTGTTCCGGGATCCTGTCTCTGATCCCCAATTCTTCTTCCAGCACAAGACAAAGTTCTTACACAGGGGATGCATCAGAGGCCTGTCTCTCCCTGGTCCAATGCCACAGCATTTTAATTATTATAGCTTTGTAGTAGTATTGATATCAAATAGTGCAAGTGCCACCACCATTTCTTATTTCAAGAGTGCATTGGGTCTTTGTTCTTCCATACATATTTTAAGACTCAGTTAAATCTCCTGAAGAAGTCTTTTGGGGTTTTGATTGGAATCACATGAACTCTGTGAATTAAATATCTTTAAAATACCTATTTTTCCTTTCCATGACATGGAAATCCGTTTCCATTTATTCAGGCCATTTTTAAATGTTTTGGATAAATTATATAATTTTCTGCATATAAATTGGACACATTTTTGTTAGATTTACTCTTAGGTAACTTTGAGTTTTTTAAGCAGAGTTCTTGATAAATTACATTTTCCAACTGCTTACTGCTAGCTCGCAGCAACACAATGATTTCTGTCTATTGATCCTACAGGCAGCCTCCTTGCTAAACTCTCTTATTACCAATCATTTCCGTGCGGATTCTTTTGTGGTTCCTCAGTAGGGCCACCCTATCATCTGTGACCGATGAGAGTCTTGCTTTACATCTTTCAAACCTCATTCCTGTAATTACTCTCTTTTTTGTATAATTGAACAAATAGATCCTCAGAGCATTGTTTCCTTGATTTTTATTTTAATAGGAACTATCTCAGAAGTTCTCTAAGAGGATGCTCAGTAGCCATTGCCCCTTTGTGAATGATGTTTGTTGTGGGGTTTTGATAGGTATCCTTTGTGAGTTTAAGAAAAGTCCCTTTTATTTCTAGTCTACTAAGAATTTTTAAGTTAATGATTGATATTGAATTGTACTAAATGCTTCTTTTGAAGTGATCAGATGATTTTCCCCGTTAATTTGTTGAAGTGGTGAATACATTTATATATTTGAACCACTGTTGGGACCCTGGAATAAACACAATTTGGTCTTGACACTTTGTCTTTTTAATGTATGGACAGATTCGCACCCGGAGGAAGGGCTCACTGGCAGCTGCCTTTGGTTTGCTCACAGGCTGTTTTGGATTTCTGCATCTGTGCTCAGTATGAGGCCGGCCCATAGTTTTCTCTTCGGTCTTTCTGGGCTTTGAGTACCGAAATTGTCCAGGCTCCATAGAATGATTTGATGATCTTCATTCATGTTTGATCCTTTTGAACAGTTTACATAAGATTGAAATAATCTAATAGGTTTAGAAGAACTCACTTTTGAAGCCATATGGTATTTTATTTGTGGAAACATTTAGAATTAATAATTCAATGTATTTAAGAGCAGTATACTGGTCAGGCTTTATACTTGAATTAATTGTAAAATCCACATTTTTCCTAGGAATTTGTGATTCCTTGTAAGCTTTCAAATTTACTGACATAATCTGTTTTAGTGTTGTCTTATCTTTACAATCATCATTGTGTTTACGTTGTGTTCCCTTTTCACCCCAAACATTGTTTATTGGTGCTCAGAAGCAGTTTGTCTACTTTACTAATCTTTTTCGAAGAGCAATTGTTGGTCGTGTTCCTTTCCATTTTCTCGTTATTTTGTATTTCACGACCTCTGCCTTTGTCATCTTGCCCCTGGCCTTTCTTTGGGTAGTTTCCATTGGACCTTTGGCTTAGATATTAATTTAATAAAATATATGTAGGTTATGTCATGTTCATAGGTTGGAAAAGATTCTTGTTAATGTATCAGTTGTCTCCAGTTTTATCTATAAATTCAATGCTATTCCATTCAGTATCTCAGCAATCAGATATTGATCAAATAATTCTAAGATTTACATGGAAAGGCAAAGGAACTAGAACAGTCAAAATGATTCTGAAAAAGAACGAAGTTGTGGGACTCTCATTATCCAGTTTATTCCCTCTACCCAATTTAAAAGATGTGGAGGTTGTGGTGCTTTTCGTATATCTATCTTGTTTGGAAGTTTCATATGCAGAAAATATGTCAGTTGTATAGCATAGCCCCGGAAATAGAGTTCTATCTAACACTTCATAGTCTGTACTTTTTTAACTTAAAACTCTATTTACAAGGACAATCGTCTGTGTCGTATATTTTGCCCAGAAAGAAATCCTGCAAAGCCCAGACTCATCAAGTGCATGCCAGGGAATAACCTTTGAATCAAATCAAATGATAATATGTTTCCAGAGTTAGACTGATCTGCAAAAGAGCAGATTAAATGATGATGAACAGCAAAATGTGAAAAGCTGGCACTAAGGCACTTCTGACAGTAGGTATGAGGACATCGCCAGTGTGTACCAGTTTCAAAAGATCTTATTGTTTTAGTAACTTGATTTCAACTTCTAGTTAATGAAGATTGGGGAGTTACCTTTTAACTACTTCTAACTTTGTTGGCTTATGATCAAAGAATGTGGACTGCACAGTGTTTACATTTTATAATTTGGTAAGATTTACTTCGTTCCCAAGTACAAAATTGATTTCTGTAATTGGGACATCAACACACAAACAAAATGTCTATCTTATGTTTAAAAAGTAAGTTTAATTATTACATTATTCAGTTTTTTCTGTGTGTGCTTTTTGCACAAAATTTGTCCAATTCTGAGATTGTGTTTTGAAGGTTACCACTGACATAGAATTTTTGTCTAATTCTTTTTTTTTTTTTATTATTTCTAGTAGATCTCAGTTCAAACATTTAGTTTCATGTTGTTTGGTATATAGAGATTTGTGGCTGTTACATTATCTTCAGAAATTATGCCTTTTATAATTGTCTACTACCTGTTTGTGTCCTGTTTAGTACATTGAACTATAAATATTGCAGCTTTTGTAATCTCAATCCTACCAAATGCATAAGGAAACACATGCTAAGTGTATAGCCTGATGGGTTATCACAACATGAGTGTGGACATGCTGATGGACTTTCAGAGTAGAAATCAAACATCACCCACCTCAGGAAAACATCACTTTCTGTCCCCAGTTCCTTCCCCAGTCCTAGGGGAGTTTATCCTAACTTTTAACACCACAGAATAGTCCTGGCAACTTTTAGACTTTATGTGACATTCATTGAATCACACAGTATGCAGTATTTGTGTCTTAATTCTTTTACTTGACTTCCTGTTTGTGTGATTCACGCATATTGTTACTTTTTCACTGCTATATATTATTCCACTTCGTGAGTATAGCGTGTACCCCAAATGATACTATTTTTTTCTAGTTTTTTGCTATTGCAAATAATGCTATCATGAGCATTTCAGTTCCTGCCTTTTAATGCACATGTGTTGCTTATTTCTGCTGTTTATATATCTAAAAGCGAAATTGCTATAACATAAGGTAAGCACAAGTCATAAGTCAAGGTTCTACGCATGTGTGAGTCAGGACTTTGTGTGGCTCCATCGGTTTATTCGTGCCTTCTTGCACCGATCCCACACGGTCTTATTTAGAACCATTTAAAAATTAGTCTTGATATCTGATAGTGTAACTCTTCCAACTTCGTTCCTCTCCAAGGGGATATTCTTGACCCTTTGCATTTCTACCTACACTTTAAAGTCATCTTGTCCATTTCTACTAAAAACTGCTGAAATGACTAGAACTGCACTGAATCTACGGATCAATTTGTGAAGAACGGAAACGCTGCAATTAGAGCATTGACTGCTCTAAATCTTAAACATGGTGGCACTTATTTCTGTGCAAAGAACCTCCCAGAACCCTCTCCTGATCAGGCTGGGCTGGAATGAGTGGCCTTTGCAGGTGGGGTGGGTGGAGTGTCCCTGCCTTCCTTCAGGTCTGTGCAGCTCTGCTTCACATCTCACCCTCTTTGGAGCAGTGCGGAGCCGACACGTGTGTCCTCATGTCCGTGGTGGGAGCACCTTCTCAGACACTTCCTTGCATTGGTTGCTCACTGTTTTAATCGTGTACTGTTGGGTCTGACTTGAAGTTGGAGAAATCTGTGACCCACCAGAGGGCTCAGAAGACATATCTGGAGTTTTTGCATTCTCTTTGTCTGTTGCAGAAAAGTTGTTCAAAGCTAAGATTCAGGATGTGAGGGCACTCATGGCAATTTCCCTGCTGCACTGATTTTGGAATTTTCTTTTTTTGTTGTTGCTCCATTGTTATTCTTTGCTAGTTTCAAAAAAGGAGAATATAGTAAAAATGACGCATCCACCACATTAAACAGAAGTCTCCATGTTACTTTTTGTTCTTTTATTTTTCAAAATCATCATATGTAAATAGACTTTTCTTCCTTTGGTGTACAGATCTATGAAATATAACACTATTATCTGTATTATAATATATATTATATTTATTATAGCATATATTATATTTTGTGTAACTACCTCCATAAACAGGTACAAAACAATTCCCTCAATGCAATTATTTATCCATTCTAGTAGTTTTTTTGATTGAGTCTTTTTTTTTTTTTTTAAGAAAAGAGGTTTAATTGGCTCACAGTTCTGCAGGCTGTATGGGAAGCATAGAGGCTTCTGCTTCTGAGGAGGCCTCAGAAACCCTACAATCATGGTGGAAGGCGAAGGGGAAGCAGGCACGAACCACATGGTCAGAGCCAGAGCAGGAGCAAGAGAGCGAGGTGGGGAGGTGCCACATGCCTCTAAACAACCAGATCTTGTGAGAACAGCACCAAGAGAATGCCACACCATTTATGAAGGATCCACTCCCATGATCCAGCCACCTCCCACCAGTCCCACCTCCAACACTGGTGATTACAGTTTGACATGAGATTTGGTGGGGACAGATCCAAACCAGATTAATAAGGATACCAGTTTTTCCAGTATTATTTGTTGAAAATACTTATTTTCCTGGCTGGGCTCATGTCTGTAATCCTGGCACTCTGGGAGGTCAAGTCAGGTGGATCACTTGAGGTTAGAAGTTTGAAACCAGCCTGGTCAACCTGGTGAAACCTCATCTGTACTAAAAATACAAAAATTATAACTGGGTGTGATGGCACATGCCTGTAATCCCAGCTACTGGGGAGACAGAGTCAGGAGAATCACTTAAACCCAGGAGGCGAAGGTTGCAGTGAGCCAAGATCGCACCACTGTGCTCCAGCCTGGGTGACAGAGTGAGACTCTGTCTCAAAAAAAAAAAAAGACATTTTCCCATGGATTACTCTGACACCCTTGTAAAAAAAAGTAATAATTTACCCAGTATGTGTGAATCTACTTCTGGACTCTATGTTCTGTTGATCTATAGGTCTACACTTTCGTTTTACTTTGTTTTGAGATGGAGTCTTGCTCTGTCTCCCAGGCTGGAGTACAGTGGCACAATTTTGGCTCCCTGCAACCTCCGCCTACCAGATTTAAGTGATTCTTCTGCCTTAGCCTCCTGAGTAGCTGGGATTACAGGCATGTGCCACCATGCCAATTTTTGTGTTTTTAATAGAAACAGAGTTTCACCATGTTGGCCAGGCTGGTCTCCAACTCCTGACCTGATGATCTGCCTACCTCGGCCTCCCAGAGTGCTGGGATTACAGGCATGAGCCACTGCACCCAGCCTGTAGTTCTATACTTTCACCAATACCACAATATCATACTATAGTTTTACAGTGTCTTGAAGTCAGGTAATGTAATTCCTCCAACGTTGTTATTTATGTTTTTCAAATTTGTTCTGGGGCCAGGCAAGGTGGCTCAGATCTGTAATTTCAGCACTTTGGGAGGCAGAGGTGGGAGGATCACTTGAACCTAGGAGTTCGAAGACCAACCTGAGTAACATAGTGAGACCTCATCTCTACAAAAATAAGAAAATTGACCTGGCCTAGTGGTGCATGCCTACAGTCCTAGCTACTCAGGAGGCTGAGGCGGGAGGGTCCCTTGAGCCTAGGAGTTGGAGGCTGCAGTGAGCCGTGATTGTGCCACTGCACTGCAGCTCGGGCAACAGAGCAAGACCTTGTCTCTAAATAAATAAATAGCTTTGGCTAATCATTTCTTTGCATTTGCATATAAGTTTTTAAATCGCCGTATCAATTTCTATGAATAGGCCTGCTGATATTTTAAAAGAGACTGTGTTGGCTACACAGATGGAAGAACTGACATGTTAACCAAGAGTATTGAGGCCAGGTGCAGTAGCTGACGCCTGTAATCCCAGCTACTGGGGAGGCTGAGGCAGGGAAGATTGCTTGAACACAGGAGGCAGAGGTTGCACTCCAGCCTGAGCCACAGAGTGAGACTCCATCTCAAAAAAACAAAGCAATCAAAAAAGAGTACCGAATCTGCCGATCCATATTGAGTGCCTCTTCACCTAGCAGACCTTCATTCCTATCTCAGCAATGTGTTATAATTTCATTGTATAGGTCTTACACATTTTTTTTGAACTCTCACTGCATCCCCCAGTGGAAGGGATTGTTTTTATTTTGCAAGATATATACATTAAAAGCAATAATAACTACCGAGTGTACTTTTATCATCTTTTCCTAAAAGGACATTTTAATGCCAAAAGCACAGATGGCATGAGCTCAGTGTAGTAACAGTGGCTGAAATCTACCTATATGGCAGCCATGTGCTGGCTACTGTTCTGAGGAGTCACGAAAACTGGAAGGGGAGTAACCCAGAGGCCGACCAATTTCATGTTAGTTCTCTTCCACCTCCAGTTCACTTAGGCTTTATGGCAGACAGAATAATGGCCCCAAAGATGTACATGGCCCAATCTCTAGAACCTGCCACATGCTGTCTCACAGGGCAACAGCAACTCTGGACGGGAGGGAATTAAGCATTGACACGGGGAACCTGATCCTGAACTATCCTGATGCACCCAATGTCATCACAGTCATCCTAAGAAGTGAGGGTCAAGGTCAGAGGATTAATAGGGAGACAGAAGCAGAGGTTGGAGCCCAGCACTCTGAGAACAGGTCCATGAGCCGAGGAATGCAGGCAACCTCTAGGAGCTGGAAGAGGCATGAAACGGATTCTCCCCTAGAGCCTCCAGAAGGAATGTGGCTCTGCAGACACCTTGATTTTGGGCCATGAGACCCATTTTGGACTTCTGACCTCCAGAACTGTAAGAGACTTGTGTTATTTGTAAGTCACTGGGTTTGTGAGGATTTGTTACAACCCATTTTGGGGAACAATGACCCGGAAGGAGGGTGAGGACAGAGAAGCCAGAGTCAGCACAGAGGTGCCAGGAAGTGGGAGCAGAGGAGGGCCGAGCTGTATCCCAGACAGTAAGAGGGGTTGAGTGATTGGGGGCTGGTCAGGCTGCATGAGAAGGGAGATGGTTGGGTGGCACAGAGGCAACTGGCAGCCTTGACAGGAGCTGCTCCCTCTGGAAGAAAGGAAGGACGCCCGGCTGCAGTGGACTGAAGGCTTTTGCTCTTTCTGCCTCATCTAGATGCCACACTTCTGCTGCTCCATCCAGCACCCAGCAGGCACAGGGTATGCAGATATGATGAACACCTGACCTCTCTGACTCTTCACCCTCCCACCACTGGGGACTCGGGCCTCGCGGCTAACACGCCCTCACTCACGGGCCCCTCTGCTGCTCCAGGCGCCTCAGGGCCTCTGCACTGGCTGCCCCCATGGCCTGGACCACTGTTCTCAGAGGTCTCTGCGTGGGTGCCCGCTGCTCATCACGCAGGGCCCACACAGCAGCCACGGGCTACGTGAGACTGCCACCTATCAAAAAGGCAGTATTTTGAAGACATCAGAATCGACGAAGGTTATCAAAACTAAATTCACCTTTTTTTCACCGTTTTTATTTATTTATTTATTTTGAGACGGGGTCTCCCTCTGTCGCCCACGCTGGATCTCGGCTGACTGCAACCTCCGCCTCCCGGGTTCAAGCAATTCTCTTGCCTCAGTCTCCCGAGTAGCTGGGAGTACAGGCGCACACCGCCACGCCCGGCTAACATTTTGTATTTTTTCAGTAGAGACGAGGTTTCACCGTGTTGCCCAGGCTGGTCGCGAACTCCTGAGCTCAGGCAAATCTGCCCGCCTCGGCCTCCCAAAGTGCTGGGACTACGGGGTGAGCCACCATGCCCCGCCTTCTTTTCATCTTTCTTAACGTGGCGACTGGAACCCTTAAAACGGCGTCTGCGGCCCCCGTCACACGCCCCCGGGGCAGCGGACTCAAAGCCAGGCTGCAAGCTTCCCCTACAGGGCGGCACGGTCAAGGCTTCGCACTTCTCGGGCCGCCTGTCGCAGTCTCGGCGGCAAGAGTCAGCCAGAGATGACGTCACTGAGCGGGAGTCCATGCGCCAAGACGCGCAGATGACGTCACTGGGCAGGAATCGTACGCCAAGACGCACAGAGATGACGTCAGCGAACGGGAGTCCGTGCGCCGACACGCAGAGAACGGTGCTGGGTGGGAGGCCCAGACAGTGCGTGGCACGTGCGGTAGAAACCCCATTCCTACTAAAAATACAAAAAAGTAGCCGGGCGTGGTGGCGGCCGCCCGTCATCCCAGCTACTCGGGAGCCGGAAGCAGGAGAATCGCTTGACCCTGGGAGGCGGAGGTTGCGTTCAGCCAAGATGGCGCCACAGCACAGCAGCCTGGGCGACAAGGCGGAAACTCCGTCTCAAAAAATGCAAATAAATAAAAAATAAAGACTAATCCAACGTCCCCAGAGAGAGGCCTGGCTTCGGCCCTCCGCCCCTGGTAAGTCGTCTGGAGGTCCCTGCTCCCTCACGCATGACGAGGCCAGCCTGGAGGGGCCTCAGCCCGGCCGCACAGCAAGAGGGATCCGGAGTGGAGTTCGGCCCGGTAGTGTCCTCGACCCTCGGGGACTGGAGGCTGAGGTCAGCCACCCAGAGCGGGGAACGTCCCCAGGAAGAAGGCGGACACGGTCTGAGGAGGGGCCCTGGCTGGCAAGACTCCCTGCGTGCCTCCCAGGAGGAGTGAGACGGCAGCCGACAACTGCCCTCCCGGCCCCTTTCCCGGCTGATCCAGCGCGTCCTTCTCCGCGATAAGCTGTGACCGGGGACATGGTGAGTCCCTCCGGAGATTGCGCAAGTATGCCAGGGTCCTGGTGCCCTCCTGACGCCTAGCTGGTGTTGGGATGGAGGGTGCCCCACGTGGACTGTCCCTCTCGCTGCGCCGTGGCCTCCCCACCGTGGGTCACACTGGTTTTGGGGGCTTAAGCGCTGCTCTTCCCTCCGCTTCCTCGTGGCTTCCCCGCTCCCCTCCCACCTCGCAGCCCCGCCAGGCTCACCCAGAGCTCCTCCAGCAGGGCCACCGCCTCCTTCCCAGCTGTGCTGCCGGCTCACACCCAGGCCTGCGTGTTGGCGGGAAGCACGCTCAGGAACTGCCCCAGCACC